AATACAGTAATACCCCGAACTTGCGCGATAGGTGGGACCGACCGGTAACCGCGTAAGTCGAATTCGCGTAAGTCGGGGTATAATTTTGCATATAAATACATACAAATTATTTTTAATTGGGGCCGGAGACTAAAGAAAACAATAATTTAGAAAAAAATGTTTAATAAAATCTTAGATAATACATATGTATAACAAATTAGGCCTATATTATTTTACAATTTTTCACATTTACTTGATTATTACGCCATAATTTTAACATTGTTTCCATCTCAGCGATAATACTGTGACGTTTACGAATGATGCTTGAATTTAAAGATTGAGCATTTTTCACAGCTTCGAGAATTTTTTCTTTGCCTTTTATAATTGTTCTGACCGACAATTCCGGTAGATCAAACTTCTTTGCCAATTCACAAATTTTCATTTTTGTATCGAAGTCCTTAATACTGTAATGGTACCCATTATTAAGGACATTATTAAGGACTTCGATACAAAAATGAAAATTTTTCGTAAAGTCAAACGAGTTAAACGCGTTAGTAACGAATCGTTCGAAAAGTCTAACCAAATAGTCTAACGATGACTTCATTCTCGCTTAACTCGTTCGACTTTACGAACGTACCTCTCAAACTCGGTTAGTTGTTCGTATGGTCTTTCTTTTCTTGTTTGATGCGGAAGAATTAGTTCTACTTCGTTTGGATGACATAGTAGAGTCTCTCGAGTCTCCGTAGATATAACAAACACAGAAATTGTAGCTATGTGTGGATTCCGCGCGACACATCCGAACATGTAAGCTGAACAATAGTGTGAGGGGGGAGTGAATAATCAAGGGTTGCGTGGCGCTCAAACAAAAGACGAATCGACGAGATTTGAAAATCGCGTAAGTCGGGGTATTACTGTATATAATTCAGCAAAAATATCCCATGCAGCTGGAAAAAAATTTTTTTTGCACACCTGAGAAATAGTATAGTGAAAAGTTACTTTTATACGAATATGGAAGATTAAAATTTTTATAGTTATATATAATATACGCCTCTAATATATAGCGTTACAGTCAATCAAACGATGGTAATGAAATCCCCGTTTCGTTTTTTTCTCTAAAAAGTTACTTCGACGTCATCTCTTCAAGCTTACATCGGGAATAATAATATACACATTTCGAATGGATTGAAAATGAAATTAATCGACGTAAATATCATACATTATCATAAATATATTTTACTTGCAACATATTCGAGATATTTGTATTTTTAAATACGATATTTATTTAAAAGCATCAAATATTTCGAGCTTTTGTAAACGTTATATGGAAGAGGGAATTATTAAAAGCGAAGATATCGATCTAAGACGATTCTATTAACGTGGAAAACTTTGAGCATTTAAGGTTCACTCGCAATTGATATGGTATTAATGATACTTTTATTGATAGTGCTACAGATCGAAATTAAATAACGAGGCCGTAAATACGAGCTAAAATCGGTTTGATAGATCGATAAATGGTAAATTTAACGAAAACAACTTTTTCAATGACTACTTTTTTCGAAGAATAAATTGATTCGACTTTTCTCTTTCCAGCAATTTTTTTTGCCGTTTCCAATGTCCAAAGTATTTCGCATTACTACATTTCATCATCGATGTCAGCTTTAATAGAAATCGAAGGAGGAAAACAAATCTCGCCACCGAAAATCGATTCTAGTAATTGATTATTTCAAAATTTGCTTTTTAGCTGTTTAATTATTATTAATCTTTGAATATACACCACTTATTTTGAATTTATTCGTTGGGTTAAGTCGAATATATTTATGATAATGGATTTAATATATATTAACTTGGTTTTCAATCCATCCATGTGAATACCATTATCCTAAACGTATATAAATTTAAGTTTTTAAGCTTTCGCTTTGTCTGGAGACTAGGAAAACGAAGAAATATTAATAGAAAAGCTGGAAGCGTCTATTCGGCGCTAACAACGTTAAAAAGTATAAAATGATCGTGTCTACATGGAATCTTTACATAAGATTATACGATAAAAGTTACCAGAATTTACCCAATTTCGAAAACGATTTGTCCCAAAATACCACGGAGTTTATAGTTAATCACGCATGTTATACACGTAAGTTTAATTGTTTTTTACGAAAGAAAGTAGGAGGAAAAGCACCGTGGCGCTTTGTTCGCTTTTAAATTTGCAATGAAATGAATTAGCTGATGAGATGATAATGAATTTGCAAAAAATATAATTTTACATTTAAATTTCTGACTAATTGCATTCCTTAATTGTTTGGTAAAATGATCGAAGCAGTTAAGGCACCAGCCAACAGTTTTGAGAGACCCGCGATTGAATCCCGACGGGTCACAAAAACCTCAGAAATTTTTCAGGGTAATCCCAGATCCACAATGGGAAGTCACCCGGTCCTCCTATTGTGGATCTGGCCGACTCCACGATGGGCATTTCTAAGAGGCCGTGTGAAAAGATGAGGCATTAGTGGTTCCTAAGAAGGTATTTGAACGGCCGTACCCAATTAACAGCCTGGCATACGATTAGCTTATCGTAACACTCACATTTCACTGTGAATTATATTCTCATAAATATGAAAATTACAATGGTTAGCTTAATGCTTATTATCTACTGGTCTACTTACTAAAACGGAAATAAAAGAGTAAATTTAGGTGGTTTTTGGAGACTTACCAACCTCTTTAATCTTAATCAGAAAGCGTTGGCAGCTCTGAATCACCGACGTCATAAATTTGATATAACTCCTTAACTACCTCTAATGCCCACGGGGCGAAGAGTTCAAAAACAAGTCTCCGAATAAAACTATATCCACACAGTCTAATCTAAAGACAGATCGTATGCTTGGGCACTTCGAACTGGCAAGGAATTCGTTGCCATTCTCGTCAATTCAAAATTTAATAATGAATTCGTTCGTTGGTCTCGTTACTTCCAGAATATCCTCGGTAATTAAATCGGCTCACCGATTGACACCATAGTTTTCTTCTAGAAGTTACCGGTTTAATTGTCGATCGAAAAGCCTATCCTTTACCGGTGGCCTTTCTAAATAAATACACAAGTGAAAAAGTTTAACTAAATATTCTATATATTAAATTCCTGTTAAATGGATCGATGAGATAAGGTAACGCAATACGTGGGCAAGTTGCCTTTCGGGAGAACTTTCTATGGAAAAATGATCCTTATTTAGGTGTTAGACGCGCGAATCCACGATCGATTACAAGTGTTAGATGGTTTTATCCAATCAACATTTTGGAAAATTCGTTACCGAAAATATTTAAAATTTCGAGAAAATTTCCTTTTTTTAAATATGTAATGCATTTAAGTTATTACAAGTTGTATGTCTGAAATATTTGGGATCAAATAATAAAACTCGGAATTCCGATATTGAAATTATTATTAGCCTATTACTTTTGTGGACTTAAACATTACCATATCACGTAGACGTAATGAGACTAAATGATTGATTACTAAAGATTAGGTTAAGTGAGATTTTCGGTATAAAATGTATTGTGCGGAAGTCAGTCAGATTAGATTTAATTAAAATGAATTGATTCAATTGACTCGTATTAACACTCGACATTAGGTCGGATGCCCCAGTTTGCCGACGTTTGCCTACCAGTATTCGAATTTGGGTCGTATCCCAAGAATTTTCCACCATTGGTTCGGCCGGATACGTTAGATCCTTTCCCTCCCCATCGGACAGCCTAATTGCGGGACTCCTTTTCCTCTTAAAGGGCCTTACAACGTAAACTGAATTTGCCAATTCTCCGCGTAGTTGTGTCAGAATGATATCGACTGGTGTCGTAACCACAGAACTGACAATTTACTTAAGTAGGCGAAATTCATTAAAGGAGACGATTAAATAGTACAGTATAGGTCTCCCATGTAAATGTTAAAATTCCTATTGTGAAATCAGATATTTTTATATGAATGTTAACGGGAGTATAAGGATCTTATTTAAAAATTAAAGTTGATAATTTTTCCAGTTTCCAATTATTTTCATTTAATGTGAAAATATTTTCATTTTATTATTATTATTTTTTTTTTGCTCTTTCGATTCTGTTAAGTTTATATACAAAACAAACGAAACAAATGTAGGCCTATAAGCTTAAAAAATCTCTAATATATTTGGAACTGCGTCAGAATTACCAAAATCTTTTTAAGTTAGGAAGACAATAGATTTATAAAATAAATTTGTTAATATCAATTGTTTTCAGTCGCCAGACAGAAGAAGAAAGAATTGACTGATTGAAAATAAGCACTGAAATCGGAAAAAAATTTGCTTTAATCAAGATTTAACAATTTAATATGGTCGAGTGGCTCAAATTCGATTTTATTTTTTATTATTCTCGATAAATATTATCATCAATCGCAATAGATATAAGCATGCAAATTTTTAAAATATTAATAATACGGGTAGCCCAAAAGTCAGTTAACTATTTTCAAGAAAGAGTTCAAAAGATAACTGTTCTAATTGAGATCCTCCATATTTAATAAACAATTTAATTCATTGCTACGAATTTTCAATTACTGCATCTAATATCTCGATCTTGGTTAACCGAGTTATGGACCACCCTGTATTTTTTAATTGTAACGAAAAATAATCTTAATAAATTGTATAACGAAACGAATTTTAAAGAGAAAAAGGAACATTTTTTAATGAGTTAGCCAATCTAAGTCACATCATTTACTGTTTTGTTTCTTAAAATACGGGCAATTGTTAATGAATATTTTACATTAAATGTTAATACAATTTACGAATTTACTAATAAGTTAATAAATATAAATGCTCGATTTGATTAATAAAATTCTCTGATCACGAGGAAATGTAGATAATATTTTACTTTATAAAATTATCCGACGGACAGATCATTTTATAAAAACACACTCCATATTGGAATATTAATAGATTATCACGTATCTACAGAACGAAAGTGCATTTGGTATTTTCGAAAAATAAAAAAGATTATATAAAATATACTGAAATTTTACTTACCTGAAAATTTCCTTTTGTGTTATTTATGGCGTACTCTTTGCACTTTTCATTTTTTATCGGGAATATAAGAATAAAATGGAAATTTACCACAAAATAACACTCTCGGATCCATTTTATTTATTACATTTTATTACCTTAAAAACAAAAAAAAACGTAATTAATTAATGCATTAAATTGCGTGGTGCACGGGAGAGTAAATTTAATTTTCTCAAAAGAAAATACTTTGCGATGTTTCAAATAAAATTATTTCGAAACGAAGGGAACGATAATTTTTATTTATATTTTTCTTCTTTTTTCCTCCATAAACATAATAAAATCTAATCAAACGGCAAAGAATGTTTTTAAACTCAAAAATTTATAAATCAAAAACAATTTTTTTCCAATTATTTTTTAATAAATACACTTTAATACTATTTCTTTTATAAATAATTTAAACAAAAATGTATTGCTTAAAGAACTACTACAAAGGTATTCTATCAATATTTTATTATTACTTCGATAAATGATTAGAAATAAAAGCTTGCAAAATAATCTAGAAATTTTTTATAAAACGACAATAAATAATAATATGTTAGTAAATAGGGAATAATTTATTATTTTGCTTTACGAAATCTAATAGAAACGGTGTCGAAAGACGTTGAATTGTAAATCATTCTCCAAGATTTTCTTTCCAAGTGGTAAATTCTGTTTTGCTCGCAAAATGCTTTGCAATTGAAGTAAGTAACCGAGCAATTAAATGTATAGTAAGTTTATGTATAGTGTTCGGTCGAACCGCGATTTAGCGCCACAGTTTTTGCAACGCTTAACCAAAAGACCTCAAACAACAGGAATTATATGTAGTAATAAGCTCCACGCATAATGTCGAATTTCGAAGTTTGATGATCATATTGCAGGCAGTGAATACTCGTGAAGAGATGAGGAAGATGAATTCACGAGTATTCGTTGGCGCTTTATCGGGGTTGCGCTATTTATGAGGGCCTTACATCGATGTTTAACTGTATATAACAATGTAATAAAATATATATTGTACACAGTTTATTAAATGCATTATATTATACAGTATAATACATATTAGTACGAGTATATAGCAAGTACAAGTATTCTATACATATTTATATGTACAGTACATCTACGCATAGTATACATTACCTTTTCTGCATATGCAAGAACCGATTACAATACACATATGTGCCATATAATGTTTTCATGTATTACTATTTGCATTGTAGCCAATTATGACCTATTAACAAAAGATGATATAGGCTATATTTCAAAGATAATCTGAAACATTTTTAAAAAATATTTACCGCAGAGCATAAAAGTATTATTATAGTTTGTCTATGGAAAGAATTAACCTGGGTATTAACCAATGAGGATCAGTCATTGATCGCTTAGTTGTGCAAGTTACTTCCGGTTTCTTCCTCATTTGTTAAATATGCTCGCCATTATAAACAGTGTTATAGAAGCTTCACATTCTGGTATTGGAATACGAAAAAGTTCGATATAGTAGTAGTTAAATGCATGATTCTTTTACAGTATGCTATAAAAAATTAACGGAAAAGTCATTCTGCCATCTAGTGAGAAAAAAATAAAATAAAATTCACATATTGCCTAACATATTAAGCGAAAAGTGCTGACATAATTAGGGAATGTGCTGATTGGTTTAACTGAAGGGAAATCACGTGTGACGTTGCTCTCGAGTCGATTTTGTCCGTATACAGACCGTAAATGCATAAAGGATGTCGAATTTATTCACAGCTTAACAATTTGGAGAAAGTATTTCTTTAATAAAAATTGAAAAAGTTTATATGGATATGGTGCATTACTCCATTTATTAACACTACTAACATTTTAAAATGGCAACGATGCTTTACAGACATCAGTTGTAGACCGTTCGAAAGTCGTTTCTATCGGTCGGGCTACGTCTAATTTAACCCGTATAATGTATTGTTTATCTTATTAAATCTAACTGTGACGAATTCTCCATTTATAATGAAATATAATCGAAGATAGAAATATTTGGTACCGGTTTTTAATACATTCATTTATACGTGCGTTGTAGTACTCACGTCAATTTATATAGGCCTACGTTGTCAATTGTATACGTTGAAATGAATACGTTGTCAATTGCAAAAAGTTAACAGAACTATCGAAAACTATACTATGCTATAAGTCTGCTAAGCCTCGTCTTTTTGTTTTTATTGATTTTTTAAAATCATTCGATTGCAAAATGTGTAAATGATTAAATTAAATCGACTAGATTAAGATCATTTAGCACTAGTATAGACCATACTATTCATTGGGATGCAATCTGAAAAAAATGTAGACAAATTCCCACTGTTGTCCTCCCGACTGTCTGTCCTTCCTTAATCTCGAGAACGGAGTAAGATATATGAAAGCCGGGAGCAGACATGGAAAGATTAGGGAGAAGAGACCTCGATTAACTGTATACGAACTTCCGATGTAAACCGGAAGTCATATTATTTCAATTCAAAACCTTTCCTCTGAAAGCAGTTAATAGAGACCGGCATGACTATATTGTTAAAGGAAAAGTATGATGTACAGGGACAAGCCACTACTAATTTGAGATAGAAAGCATATATTTTACATTAAACTAATTTAAAAAATATGATTAAAAATTGCAGCCCGGTATTGTGACGATGTCACAATAAATAATTGCTCGTTGTAATTAAAATAGGTGGAGTAATATTAACAAATAGGCTAATATTAATTGTATATTTCCGGCTCTGAAATATAAGAAAGATGCGTTTGGATTTTACTTCGAATTTAAATCTTCATTATTATACGATGTTACGGAAGAAAAAGACTTGGAATTTTTCTAAATAGTCCCTCGAGTGCAGAAAGAAGCAATTATTTCCATTGTTAGTATTGTTTTATTTATTTTATTACATTCGAGTTAAATTAATAAATATTAATGTTATTGAATGATTTCGACGAACCGGAAGAAGGTTCCTCGGTTATCGAATTCATACATAATTTGTTATTTGTCGAATGTAAATTCAACAACGAATTTCAATGTAGTACTAGTTGCCTGCAGACCCATATATTAGAAATATATAATATTTATCCGTTCGAAATCTCCTATTCTTTCTTATTGACTGTTTAAAAAATAAAACTGATCGATGTTTTCGAAGACGAAACCTTAGCCGATTGATTTTATTGAATTGGTGGCATCTTTTACGATCCGAGAAATTACTGTGTTTTGGCTCCATACGATTTTTTAAAGTATTAACATTTACTACTTGTATATCGTTCACGCAATATCTTGTACCCGTATTAAATATTAGGTCTCGTTAACTCTCGTACTTGACAACAATAAAATTACTAAAATAAGACATTACTTTCTATACCCGCGCGATGATCTTTTGATCGTTCGTTTAAAATTTAATTAAACCAGCAAATCTATTTACTTCGACAGATTTATACAAGTGTTTCCTTGGAATCGACATATAAGCATTTCTAGATATAAATTTCCACTTTCTGACGTCGATAAAAACTTCGTTTATTTAATAATTTATCTAATATTTTCAATTATACTTTCAGCAGACTCGACGAATGTCGGTTGGGAAACGGACGGCAAATGAATTCGATAAAGTAGTATTCATTTCTGGTTTAACAAATAGAAAAATTAACTATTATTCTTGGAAATAATTCGATGTTTCGTTCGTAAATCTTGTTCCTTCGACGATTAAAATACTAAAAATATTTACTTTAATATTTTTGAAAATCAATAAAAAATGTATAAATGTTTTTATTTTTCTTCTAACTTACAACATACAAAAAGACAGCAAAATAGATTAAAAAGCGGATAGGAATTTTCTTTAAATAAAATTAGAAAGATTATTTGAATATTAAAAAGTGGATTGAAGTAACCTCCACTTACGGTGGAGAAACGAGTGTATATTGGAGACATTTTTCTAGGAATTTAAACGTTTTTCCTTTTAACTAATCTGGCATTATTTTTAAAAACCTAATAACGGCATTTTCCAGTCTAGCAAGGGCATTCGTGATAACGATAATGCGATTAGAAGTAAGATTTAATCATAAAGCAGTCTAAAAATAACCCGCTTAGCATCTATTCATTGCTGGAATCTCAATATCTGATTAAGAGAGATCGATATTCTAAAAAATGTAAGGCTGTTTGCTATTCGAGTCGAGTAACGGATGACCCGACTTTCGGTTCTCAAAAGTTTACATAATCTAAAGGAAAATGCGAAAAGACTGCAGATATTCTACCTTTCGGAGGAAAACAAATTATGCCTTCATATCTGGAGAAGACCATCCCCGGTTAGATTTACATTTCAAATAACGGCCCAGTCAAATAAGGCTATAGACTTTCTCTTTCCGCAACTGACATCGAATAAAGTTTGACATTTGATGTGCGGGGAAAGCAAATGTTACGGCTACCTCGCGCCTAAATTTGATACCGATGAGTTCTTCTTTTCCGACTTTCCAACCTTTTGTACTTGCCAGCGCTTATTTCCCTTTTCCCCTTTTTTATGTGCACGATTTTTACCTAGATCCATATTATGAAATAAAAGATTCTCTATTCTGCAGGATGCGATCTGTACTTTTTTCCTGTCTTACACAAATAAAAGCATCGTTTTGAACCCATATATTCGATTTTTTCCGTGTGTTAATAGTGTTTATAATTTATTCGTAATCCCTAACGTTATGGTAAATTCTGAATTACTATTTACTTACGAAACGTTTGTTTATCTCTTTCCCCACTCGAGTATATCGCATAAATAGTTTCATCTCGGGAGAGGAAAATGTTTGCTCCTGTCAAAGAATCGAATTCTTTCTCTCTTTACGGCTGTCTCGTGCCATTCCACCACCCAATAAATGACAGATAAAGAAACTACGATATTAAAATAGTGTCGAGTCATTTGTAAAGTTTACGCTCTTTTTATTTAATATATTTTAGAGAATAATTCCCGGAAGTCGCGCATCAGACTCGAAGCCCATACATCTTTAAGCCGTAATAAATATAATTTATTTTCAATTTGCAAAGCGAATGCCTGGACAAATTTTCGGAAATATATCAATGTTATAATACGAAATTTCAACCATTTCTAGTTTTATTCTACTGAGAAAACCAAACCTTTCATTA